CAAACTCGGGCCCATCTCACCAAATGGCCGATTAAACTACTTTTTGCTGAGGAATCTGCTGTTTGGAAAGCTTTAGCAGAAACCCTATTGACCTCTGATTTCGGACTAACTTCCAATCCACCTCTTGTCTATTTGGCACTGTTCACAGATGAGTACTGTCGAAAACGAGCTTTGTCACCCCTTTGGTGTGGCATACTTGGTGCTTGGAGGTTGATCCTTCCAAGTAGGAAAGCCCCCGTTCTTCAATATGATCGCCTATTAACACAACCTATCTTCAATAACCCATGTATATTGAACTCTGACGGAGTTCCTTTCCCACTACTTGGCACAACAGCTTTTGGATATTCTTGGATGTCCCGAGGCGTTGCCACTCTGATGCATCTGTGGGATGAACACACAAGTACCTGACCCACCCTAACAGTAGCAAAGCATGCTGGTCTACTTTGGCTGATTATGCACAATGCCACTCCCACTGCGGCTTTCTTGTACCGTCGACGAAAAAAAGGTGCTCCTTTGTGCACAGTCTGTTCCACAGGACATCTGGTAGAAGATCAACAACATCTGTGGGTTACATGTAAATAGGTCAGAGAAGTGTGGACAATACTTAAAGACGCTATTCTTCTCCCACGTCATCATGGGGACCTTTGGTCCAAGGAAGCCATTCTTCTGGGTACTGGGTTATTGGATTTTACAAAACCACAAGCATATGTATATGAAACCATCAGGTCAACAGTGCTGTGGCATCTGTGGCGACATCGAAATGCTGTAGTCAGAAATGGCGAACCTCCTTCGGTTCAGCAAGTATTTTACCGAGTGAAGACCGACCTTCGGCACATCATCTGCTTGAATTGGGGTAAGAAGATTGGCCAAAGAAGAAATTTGCGTACTGGGGTCAAGTGGTTCTACTGTCATTGGGCCTGTAATCCCTCCTTAGCATCCATTGATGCTTGTACTGGAGATTTCCATTTTGGTCCTTTCCTACAGTAAATCATCTTTTTACTCCCACATTACGAAATAAAAGACTGTTTGTTAATTTTAGGTGCATTTTCCTGTGATAGGTACAAATTCATTGGATGTTCGTTACTGAGTAGGTTCTTTCTTATTTTCTTTTTTTCATTGAGTTGTCACAGGTGAGGGGCTCCGCCTCAAGAAGTAGGCTGGAGACCTCACTTCCCCTGAATCAGGAATTTATATCATTGTATTTTTCGGCCTTGGGCACTGGGCCCTATTAAATAAAAAAAGAAAAGAAAAAAAAAAGAAAGTTAAAAAAAAAAAAGAAACGGGCATCCTCCTGATGTGACGCCAACCCCGCCGTGTTAAGGCAGGGAGGCGGGTATTGGCAAATTCGGGGGCCGTCGTCTCATCACCGATGAGCATTCTTCTCGAATTCTTTGCCTGCACAAGGGGGGCTGCCAACTACTAAAAAAAGCAACAAAAAAAGGGGTTAAAAAAAAAGAAACAGGGGGGTAGTCAGCCAACCCGTAGAATCCTTAGTGGTTAAACCCTTCTTCCGGTTGCTCCGATTCCTCCTGGAAAAGCTCCCTGTAAGCGCGTGTGTGTGTGTGTGTGTGTGTGTGTGTGTGTGTGTGTGTGTGTGTGTGTGTGTGTGTGTGTGTGTGTGTGTGTGTGTGTGTCCCTTAAGTTGACCAACTAGTAACTCACGCCCTCTACTCTCCCACCACAGACCTAGCTGGATATTTAATGCGGGGTACTTACAATCGAGACACCTATCATCATCACCAGTTAGAACCCACCAGACCAACCAGTGACTCATGACTTCTACTCTCCCACCACAGACCCTAGCTGGTTTTTAAGGCGGGGTACTTATCATCGCCACAACCAACAGGACGAGTGTAGACATATATGCAAGGTGGACACCATCCTGGGTGGGGCCAGGCCAGCAGGAAGTAGGCGCTCTACAAATTGGGAGGGTAACATACGCAGCCCCGAGGGAAAGAAGGATGCTCTGGAGCAAGAACTCTAAACGGCCATATGCCCAACAAACATTGCATTGTAAAGATGTATCCAAGGGACGCTGGACCCGATTTCCAGCAGGTGCTGCTCCCCACCAATAGATGGAGCCTCCCCGACGGTGCTAGGTGTGTCTGCTCATATCAGCACACCTAGCATCCGGTCGGGTTGTTCTCATAAAAAATGAACAAAAAAAAGAGACACTTATCATCATTATCAGTTGATCGTAACCTCCTCCCAACCCTATGGATCTGTTTGTGTGTATGTACTCTGTGTCATAGATGTGTGCCCGTTAGCTATATGTATGGTTGTATGCTGCTCCCCACCATGGAGCATCTGCGAAGTGAGTACTGAGTACTGGTGAGAGGTGCTTTTACCACCTCCACTAGTACATATATGTGTGTGTGTACCTTGAGCTATATATATATATATATGTATGTATAGTATGTGTGTATGGATTGTGCTATCCGTGGTAGTATCTCATGTGTGTGTGTGTATGTGGTAGAGACAGGTCTATCTGGTCAGGACCCCCCGGAACCAGACTCGAACCTGTGACCTACAGTCTGAAACTGGAGGGTTCTACCACTTATACTACCGTGGGAAGTGAATATAATGTGTGTAATGTCTGGATTGGGGGAGATCATCAGAGCCACCAAGGCCAACAACCACCAGCAACCAACGTTAAGACTAGACCAGCATACAACACCCATGGACTGACCCCCTGGGTGGTGCGCAGGCAGTGCATGGACTGACCCCCTGGGTGGTGCGCAGGCAGTGTCCGTAATAGTACCATGCATCAGCCCAGGGGAGTGTGTGTCCAACCGTGCGTCATTCTAACGCCCTGCCGGTCCATGCGCGGGGCTGTGGAGTTTTGAACCCACAACCTCATACCACAACGCGCATTCCCAACCGGTGCTCTAACCACTGAGCTACCGCAGAGTCTTGCAGTGTCCAGAGGGTCCAAAGTATTGCCCCTCTGAAGCTCTGCTACGCTGAAGAAACAGTTAGGTATTTCTGCTTGGGCTATCAAGTTAGAATTTAAAAACTATACTTGTACTCTTCGGGCATTTGCTTTGGGAGCATTATACTTCAATCAAGCCTTCCATAGGACTCAAGAGTTAAAACTGTTTCCACAAGTATCATACCACTTCTGCAAAACATCCTTCCACAGAAGATTAAAGAGTTAAGACTGTTTCCACAAGTATCATATTACTTCCCCATTACACAAACAAAAGGTAAAAAAGAAAGCAGATAGATAGATAGATAGATAGATAGATAGATAGATAGATAGAGATAGATAGATAGAGAGAGAGAGATAGATAGATAGATAGATAGATAGAGAGAGAGAGAGAGAGAGAGAGAGAGAGAGAGAGAGAGAGAGAGAGA